CCACATACAGTGGGACAGGGCGCCAATGTGAGCTTCAGTCCTATATAACTCAGGCTGAACCTGGCCTCCGACTGCAGGACCTGGGTTCATGTTCACCAGCTCCAGCCCTTCAGGACTTCCTCGAGCCTTCTCTCCAACTGCCGGCCGTCTCCTGTGGCTGTCCTTCCCTCATCCACTCTGGGGACTTGACAGTGTGGAGCATAGCTTAGAGGCAGGGGGCTGCTCTGGGACCCAGGTTTGAATACTGAGCCCTTCCCTACAGTGGCGTCCCTGCCAGCAGTTGTGGCAATTGTGGCAACAGATCCTGGACCAACGTCACTCACCAACTGTTTATTATGGACAGGCCACTCTGGGAGCAGTGTCCTATGTTTTCCTTACAGGTTCCAACTGTCACTGATCCTCAGTCCCAGTGTGGTTCTCCATGAATGAAAAGTTTTTAGTTTCATTCAGTCTCCCAGATGGCAGCTATAACCAGCTGCTCTCAGCCATGGTTTGCAGAGGATCCCCTCCCCTCTCTGAAATGTGTTCTATTTCTTCTGTATATTTTAATCCTTTCCCCCATCTTTTGTCAGTTTCTTCCAGTCCCCCCTCTTTGATAACCTCCTTTCACTTTGATTCCTCTCCAAGCTACTATTTTCCAGACTCTAGGACACAGTCCTGGAGAAGCTGAGTTGCTGGCAATAACTGCTCTACCATTTTTTTCTCCTCGCCCCCACTTGAACTTTTTAAAAGGAAAAAACTTTGATGTTTTGGGTAGGAAGATTTAAGAGTAAATATCACATTTCCTCTGTGATCACCGTGATGCTTATCAGCATCATAATGGTTGACTTTACAACCAGGTCCAAAATATTAGATTTCTTATTCCTGGCACATTACCTCTTTGTTCAGTTTCTTCTTTAAAATGTTTCTGTAACTCCTGCTTTAGCTTCCAGTCTCCACTAGTCAAAAAAAGTAGACCCCTCTTATTTCCTTTTCTTTTTCTTTGGTACTAGGGATTGAACTTGGGTCCTTGCACTTGCGAGGCAGGTGGCGATACAACTGAGCTAAATCCCTAGCCCTCTTATTTCTTTTTCTTCTGATCCATTTTGCACACCATTTCCAGAAGAATCTCCTGAGGCATTGCTTTGATCATATTGATGCCTAATTGAAATACCTCTTCATATAAAAAATCAATCTTCCAGGGCCAAGCATGTAGCTCAGTGGCGCCACACCTGCTTGAAAGGCACAGAGTCCTGAGTTCCATCTCTGGTACTGGAAAAAAAAAATCAAGCTGCCTAACCCAGTATTTATATCTCTGTGTAATCTGGCCTAACCTATCTTCCAGCCTTATCTACCACTATTTCTGTTGATCAACCCTCTGCTCTGGCCAGAGTGAAATGAAGTGTCATTGCCTAGGTGCCAATGATCAGGAGTGCTGCAAAATTACTGGAATACATCCAAAACATGTGTCACTTTACTATGGTTTCCACATAAACTCCTTGAATTAGTGAGGGAATGAGAACTGGAAATTTCCTCTCCTTTCCCCATCAAGCCAAATAGTGCTGTCAGGTTTAAAAAAAATGTTTTCTTCTCTGACTTCCTCTGTTGAGAATTTTTGTTAATGTTTTGTTTGTTTCTGGTGCTAAGGATTGAACCCAGGGCCTCACCTCCAGCCAAGTTAATAAGAGGCTGAGTTCATTTTTTGTTTGTTTATGGTGCCGGGGATCACATCCAGGGCCTCGTTCATATTAAATATTTGTTCTACCTCTAAGTCGCACCCCCAACCCCTCTGTTGAGTATTTTTGCAACATGTAAGCAACTAGGGTCAAGCCTGCCACTGGTAAGTGAAAACTCAAAGTCAGCAGTTGAGGTCAGCTTAAATTCTAAAACCAAATAAGGCAATGTATAAAACCATTAATTGGAAATTATCAGCTTTTATTAATTACACATTTTTAGTCAGCTTTTGAAGTATGATTTTCACATTGGAAAATTCACCCTTTTTCAGGTGTACAATTTGATGACTTGAACAAAAAATATTTCTGTTACTGTTATTTGCATCTTAAATGGTCTGTCAAGGCTTCTAAGAAATATTATGGTTTACAATATTGCTCATAATAAAATCTTTCTTTGATAATAAAATGTACCAGATTTTGAGCAGAAATTTTTTTTCAGCTTTAATTGAGTTTATTGGTACATTTTAGGGATACAGTACAGTTACATTCATTGTTGGGATCTTGTACCTCTACATGACAAGTCTTGATTCTCATTTTTTCCCCTTGTCCCTGCCCTCCCTTCACCCCCTCCTCTGCTCCCCATCTACAACCACTTTATTTCCATCTTTTCATTATCTCACATTTTTTTCTTTTCCCTTTTTACCCTTCCCCTGCCCATCACACCTTCCCTACACCTTTAGCTCCTTTCTTCCCATTTCTCAGTGTCAGTAATCTTATTAGGATCTTCTGTATTATTGCAGATTATTCACACCAGAGAAACTATTCGGTATTTACACATGTGTGCCTTATTTATTTCACTTAGGAGCATATCTTCAATATGTATCCATTTTCCTATGAATGAATCTATTTTCTCATTCTTTATGGTTGTGTAATATTCCATTTTATAGAAAAATTAGTTTCTTCCAGCTTCTGCCAGGTAGATATTGAACAAATATTTAAAGAAGATCCATGTTGAGGGCCCTGCCAGGAGTACCCACAGATCTTGCAGTCCCAGGTGGCTTCTTTATGTGGAAGACTGTAGGAAGAGAAGATTTGGGAGGAAAGCAATGAGCTCATTGTTGGACGTGTTCAAATTCAGGGGCCTGTATGCAGGGCTGATAATTCAAAGCATCTAATAGTCAGTAGAGCACAGGCAGGGATTAGTGAATATGGACAATTGACAAACCATAACTGACATCATCAAACCTGTGCATACTAAGTACCTCCCTAATCCATAGTATCTCTAGGTAGAAGTTGGATTAGGGCTAGTAGAAGTCAGAAGAAAAGTTGGGCTGGGTATAATAGATTGGGCTGGCACATAATGTAATAAGATTAGTAACCCAATTCTTAGGTATTAATTGGATTGGCATGAGACGGCTGTGGATAAATCCTGTGGTTGAGACGAGAAAGAGAAGTGAGTGGATAGGAGTAGATGGAAAGGTGAGATGAGAACCAAAAAATGTCCATGTACCAGAAAATCAAGAGAAGACTGAATTTTAAGGCTGGAGTAGTTATCAGGATAATAAATGCCTATCAACTTGGCAGTTTAAAAGTAATAAACATAGTAAAATAGATTGACATTCCTTTCTGTAATCGATATACACAAGTCCTGTAACAGGCATTTTAAGTATTTTTCCTTCTTGTCATGAAAGTATACCACACCTATTTTGCATTATTTGGAAAATACAAGAGGGTAGCAAATTTCTGCCTGCTGGAACCTTAGACACAAATACCAGGGTCAGACAAGGACCCGAGGGGGTGCTTACTACCTGTACCCTGGGAGACAGAGGTATTGCTGCACATGACTCCTGCCAGAGCCCATCTGTCCACAAAAGCAGCAGGTCCTGGCTTCAGGCTGCAGAGTATCACTGAGGAGAAGCCTCCCTGCTCCAAGACTGCCTTTCTCCTTCTCTGCCTCTCTACCCTTCTCAAATAAAGAATGACAAGATGGGCAAAGGATGCACATCAGTAATCCCAGTCTGGGAGACGTAGGCAGGAGGATTGCAAGTTTGAGCCCAGCCTGGGTAACATAGCAACTCTCAAAAAAAGAAAGGAAAAGAAAAAGTTGGAAGTTATAGCTTAGTGCGAAGGCCCTGGATTCAGTCCCCAGTTCCAGAACAACAGCAAAAAGAAGACAGCTAGACGTTTTCCTGATCAGTTTTTCTCCTGTAGCAAAGTTGTTTGAGTACATATGCTCTGACAGATCCCAGTTACTCTCAGATAGCCCCTTTTGAAAGTGTGGAAGACAAAGGGAAAAAAGCAATGCTAAGATTCCGTCTTGCCCCAGAAAGAATGGTTGTCATCAAGAAATCGAACAATGACAAATGCTGGCATGGCTGTGGTGAAAAAAGAACCCTCCTTCATTGTTAGTAGGAGTGTAAACTAGTACAGCCATTATGGAAATCAATATGGAGATTTCTCAAAAAACAAATTAGAAATTCAATATGACCTAGCAACCCCTGTGCTAGGTATCTTTCCCAAAGAGTTTAAGTCATCATACTACGGTGATACATGCATACCAATGTTTATAGCAGCACAACTCAAAATAGCTAAATCCTAGAAACAGCTTGTATACCCATCAACAGACAATTGGATTTAAAAAAATGGTATCTGTACATAATGGAATATTACTTGGCTATAAAGAAGGATACATTTGAGACATTTGTAGGGAAATGGATGCACCTAGAAAATTTTGAGTAAAATAAACCAGTCACACAAGCTTAAATACCATGTGCTGTCTCTCATTTGAGTGAGGTGAAGTACAAATAAAGAGAATAAAGGATGTATAGAAGGGAACAAGGAGATGGATCTCTTACAATAGGGAAGTGGTCCAAGAGAAAAAGCGTGAAGGGTGAGAAGGAGGTGAAGGGGGAATAAGTAGAATAATGCCATGTACCGGAACTTAATAACCTCAAGGAATGTAAACATTATATGCCATAAACATGAGTTAAGATTAATAATATCAACAAGAATGAAAATGGGGAAAGGGGAATTACAGGAAAAGAGAGGGAGCGAGCGGGAAGAGGAAGGAAACTAAAAAAAGAAGAAACAAGCTGTGGTATTATGTACATGTATCCAATCCCAAGATGACTAACTGGCATGTACTTCAAACATGTACTAATAAAAAGCAAAAATGATGGAAAAGCAGGAATAATGGAAAGATTAGTTCAATTAAGGGAACAGAGTTACTGTGGGAAACAAACCAAAAGTTGACAAATGATTGTGTTTATTGTAAAAAGAGTAGAGAATGCTATGAAGAGAATGTTACATTCATATTTCTCACCTTTTTTGTCCTGTTTCATCGCTCAGCCCTCTGGTGATTGATTCTGAGTCTGATGATGAATGTGTTCATAAGAAAAAGAAAGCTAAGATATACAAAGTAAACAGTGAAGGTAAGTATACTCCTTAGAGAAGCAGTTGGGCTCTGAAGCTTCCTCACGCACAGCAGTTTCAGGATCAGAGTCCTCAGACTCTGGGTTTGGAATCACTTAGTAGCAAGGGCCACTATTTCTTGCCTCATATGTGCCAACTGTGGATGTGGCTGGGTTAGTTTCCTGTGCCTTGGATCTCAGGAGTCCTCTCAGTGGAGCTTTTACCTATCTAGAATTGCATCAAAGCAGCAGAGGGGAGAAAGTCAAGAGCTGAGACTCAAGTATGCAGGCCACTCTGTTGCTCCCTCTTCCTCTCTTCCTCTCCTCTATGCATGGGAATAATGAGGAAGAAAGGAGTAAGAAGCATAGGCTCTGCCTTCTTTTCAGTCTGATGGAGATTTGGGAGGAGGTGATGGTTTAAAACATACTAGCTAGCTGGGCATGGTGGTGCATGTCTGTAATCCTAGCACTCAGGAAGCTGTCCCAAAAAAACCTAAATAAATAAGTAACAAACAAAACATGCTTCATACCATTTCCTGTCTCCATAGTTGCATAAAGAGGATTGAAAGTTTAGCCAGGACATAATCACAAAATAAAAGGAAGCCTTTGCATTATAGAAATTTAACTTGATTTGAAGGAAACATCACATTTTTATTCTAGTTTCTTATTTGGCTGTGAATATAAGTCTGGAGACCTGTGTTTGGGAACTATCATGCAACAACATCATTCTACTCAAAGAATATGATTGGTATATGTACATAACACATCTTAATTCTTTTTTTTTTTTTGAGACAGGGTCTCACTGTGTAGTTGAGACTGACCTGGAACTCACTATGTAGCCCAGGCTGGTCTTGAACTCACAGTGATCCTCTTGCCTCAGTCTCCGGAGTGCTGGGATTATAGGCATGAGCCACCACTCCCAGTTTTAATTTTTTTTAATCTCTTTCCTCATCCCTCCTTCCCACTCCCTTCCATCTCTTGGTCCCTTTCCCTTTTGTAAAGATCTACTTCCCTGTTTCTTATTACCTATCTTTTATTTTGCTCTTTATTTATATTTTAGATTTCTCATATAAGAGAGACAATGAGATAAGCATGTGTGTCTGAATTATTTCACTTAGCATTATGGTCTCAAAGTGCATCCATTTTCCTACAGATGATTTGTTTATCCTTCTTTATGGCACAGCAGTATTCCATTATGTATAAATAACACATTGTCTTTATCCATTCATCTGCTGATAGATATATGGGGCTGCTTCCAAGATTTAACAATTACGAATTATACTGCTATAAACATGGGTGTGATTGCTGGTGGGGTTTTTGTTGTTGTTGTTCTTGAGACGGGGTCTTGCTATGTAGTTCAGGCTGGCCTTGAATTCACTGTGTATCCCAGGCTGGCCTCAAACTCCCAGCAATCCTTTTGCCTCAGCCTCCCAAGTGCTGGCATTATGGGTGTGCACCAGTATACCTGGCCTGGTTGCTGTTTTATCTGTCATTGCTCTTAGTAAAATTAAAAAGAAGTAAAGTTAAAAACAATTTAAAATAACTATGATTTTTATCTGTGACTTATAGTCACAGTTTCCATCTTAAGTTGTACTCAATAATCTGTTTAGTGTGTAAGGAGCATATTTGTAAATGACATGTCCCTTGAATTTCAGATGAGATTTTGGAAGTGATTTCTGACACTGATCAGGAGCAGCCCACCACCAGTGCCCCAGTGTCTCCAGGAGTAATTATTGATGATGATGATGATGATGATGATGATGATATTATTGTCGATGATGATGACGATGATATTATTGTTGATGATGATGTTGATATTATTATTGATGATGATGATGATGATATTGATGATGATATTATTGTTGATGATGACGATGATATTATTGTTGATGATGATGTTGATATTATCATTGATGATGATGATGATATCATTGATGATGATGTTATTGATGATGATGATGATGATATTATCATTGATGGTGTTGATGATGATGATGATGATGATGATGTTATTGATGATGACGACGACGACAACAATGACAATGATGACAATGGCAACAATAACAAATTGGAAATTCCTGTGCTAAAAGGGGGTTCCCATGATCACAGCCAAATTTATTCAGATAAAAAAGAAGTGGATGAGTGTGTTGTCTCCCAGCACGATTCACCTGATAATGTTCATAAGAAGCAGGATCTTGGTGAAAATGTCAACAAACCACCAACTGATCCTGAGGCTGACCTAGAAATTATAGATCCAAAGTCGCCAAATACTGAAGAAGTCATATTTGAACCAAGGAAATGGAAATGCAAAACCAACAATACATCTGGTGTGACACCTGGTAAGCCAGTCATGCCAAGTGTGCCTGTCTCACCCAATGTGCCTGACCTACCAAGTGTGCCCACCACACCTTTTCTGCTCAATATGCCTGGGTCTTCAGGCTTATCCATCCTGTCAGTCCTCAGCCATTATAGCAACCTCCTAGTTGCAAAGGGAAGCAGGCATCCCAATGAAAAGGATTTTTCTGGCAATAGGAAACACCCATGTCTGTCTATCTCATGTTCCCATATCTTAGTATTTACTGTTCTATGTGTCCCCTCCCCCTCCTTTTTCCCTGCATCTTTTGTCCTGAGGATACAGTGGTACCTCAGTTCATGAACTTAATTATTTCCATGATTCTGGTCAGAAACCAAATGTTTATCTTCCTGTCAATTGAGTGATGGAATGAATTTTCAGGGTACAAATTAACTATTATCCTTTCAGCTGGTAGTGGACCAAAAAAGCATGCGTTTTCAGAGAAGAGATCCAGTGCAGCAAAAGTTGAAAAGTGTGAGACTGGGTATGTACTGCTCACATCCAACTGAACAGGAATTCATTGCACATTTGTCATGTTCAGCTGCCCACTAGGCACTTGGGGGGTGGTCAGTGGGATAAAGAGGTCTGGTGGGGTGGGGGTGGGGCAAGGTCTGGCCCTGAATGGAGAGCAGGGTGAGGAAGCCATTGGTCACTCCCCCCTCATTCCCCTGGTGGCTGGGCCTAAGTACTCTGCCAAGAACCCTTCAGTTCATGGGCAGAATGGGGCCCTTCTGCCCCCACAGCAGCTCTGGCCTCTGAAGTTTCCTTTGTCCTTAAACTCAGGTCAAAAAAATGATGTAGCCAAACATGACTTGTGGTACCAGGTTACACTAAACCAAGGTAAATACAGGGGAGCTAGTGAGAAGGCAGAGCTGACCCACTATCTGATTTGTTGGAATTGGAGTGAGGGCAGTCAAGAATGTTTTCTAGGCTTTTCTAGTGCTTTGGATGAACCCAGTTATATTCTTACTGCTACATATACCCTTGCTATTTTTTTGTTTTTGCAGTTCTGTGGATTGAGTCCAGGTCTTTCCCTCACTCTGTCCCTATACCCCCATTCCTCTTGAGAATTTTCAAAGATTAAATGTTAGGATAAAATAGATTACTTGTAGTTCCCTTATTTTTATTAAGCTCTATATAGTTGATACTGAAAATAATAACTGGTCATTAAAGGCACATTAATACTTAAAGCAAAAAATCAAGACATATTCTCATTTAGATTCTAGGAAGTTCCTATATTTTCCCTTAGAAATATGATAATGGTGGCCAGGTGTGGTGGTGCACGCCTGTAATCCCCACTGCTAGGCTGAGGCAGGAAGATCGCTGTGAGTTCAAGGCCAGCCTTAACTGCATAGTGAGACTGTCTCAAAAAAAGAGAAAAAAAAAAAGAGATACGGAAAGCATAATTTCCTTTGTTTTTACTTGTATTTGGGAATAATATATACTTATATCTGAATTATCTTACAAAACAAGGAAAATATTAAAGAATTCTGTTATTTTATGTGAGCACCACCTCCCCATACTGGGGATGGAACCCAGGGCCTTACATGGGGTAACTTTACCACTGAGCTTTACCCCACAGTCAGTGTAACTTTTCTGCTTATGTTTTAGGAGGAAAAAAAAATGTACCTTACAGGAGAGAAAAACATGATACCCCAGGGATTAGGGTAGCAGAGCAACTTAGACCTGAAGGAAAGGTTCTTTTTGTCCCACACAGCTGGCAGCCGCTAGACTCCTGTCAGTGAAAGCATCTCTGGTTTTCTAGATCCATATTTAAGTTGATTTGCTTATAGGGACAGTTGGCCTGGGTAGCTCCCAGGTTGCTTTGCCAGAGACTATGACAAAAGAAGGGAATAGCTGGTGCTCAGTGTTCTTATTAGTCAGGCTCATCCAAAGGAGTCTAGGCTGTTTGGACTCAACTGTTGCTTTGATACTTCTGGTGTTAGTCTGGGTGCTTCCTGTTGTGCTCAGCATTGTTCCTGTGTAGGTTGCCTGTTGGTCATGGTGTCTCATGTACCCAGTTGGGGGTCTTGTTGGTTCCTCTGATGTGGGGCATGCTCAGCCTGCAGTGAAGTGGCACAGGACTTGAGGTGAAGTTTGCTAAGCAACAAGGTCAGCCTTTCCTGAGTACCAGGAAGTCACATACTCTGCCGAAGCCTGCCACTTTGCTCAGATTTTCATCTGCTACCTTTTCTGATGCAAATTTGTTCTCAAAACTAGCTAATTGGAGGCAGAAATGTTTGAGTCATCTATGTCTGGCTTTGGGGAAAGAACCCTTGCATTAGCTTCCCTTGCCTTGTCTGTTGGGTTCTTCCTCCCCATAAGCATCCTGGCAAAGTCTCAGTCTCAGAAGTGCAGTGTAGTCAGAAGCTCGCTGCATTTGATTGTTTTATCTTTCAAGCTCTGAGGCTCATCTGTCTGGACTTGTGAATTGTTCTAGCCAAGGTAAAAATGCTTCTCTTTAAATAAATAGTTACTTCATGCATGAGTTCTTTATGTGCTCAACACTATTCTTTGTGCCACCTGAATTAGGCCTAGAAAGATGGGCAGCAGTTGTGATTTAATGGAAAGATCATGAGATTGGATCAGAAGATTCATTGTCTCTGTGGCCTTTGGGCAAATTACCCTTGAGCACGAGTTTCCTCTTCTGCAAGTTAGAGATGGTAAAAACAGTAGTGGCTTCTTTGAAGGATGGTTGTGAGGATTAAATATGGCAATGTAAAAGGAAGTTCTTTACAGGTTATATTGTACTTCACAAATGGTGATTCTCAATCGAAATAGAGATGGGATCACCATGGGGAGAAGTTAGGCTGAGGCATGAGTGTGAGAAATCACAATTCATGTCCAGGGAATGTTGAGTTGCCTGCTAAGTCCAGAATGGAAATGGTAACTGGAAATAGAGGCTGGAGCCAGATTGACCCAGGCCTTGAATGCCAGGCCAAGTGGTCAGTGAAAAGCAGAGGGTAATGTTAATTTGATATGGCCTAGGACAGAGAACCTTTCAGAGCTTTCAGTGATACAAAAAGCCTGCATTGGCATGTATGACATATGTTCACCACTCCTGGCCTAGGAATGCAAATCTGGAGGGATGTATATAATTGAATTGAAAGAGGTAACTGGGGCTGGGAAGGAGGACTGACTGGGAGAGCCTTGGGATGAAGATACCTATTCCCTGCTAAACATAGAATAAGGGAGAAAATGAATTTAAAATGCCTCTGAAATTTTCAGCCATTTAGCACAGAAGTTTGGCAGTTGAGTATGCTGCACTGGAGATAAGACTCTTGTTAGTTGGAAATTTGCATTGGGCAATTTAAATTGAGAACTAGGTATCAGGAAAGAGCTAGAGGTTGTATCTACTGAGGTGGGGATCAACTCCCCTGGGGTGGAAACCCTGCCCTCACGCTATGAAAGGAAGCTTGGAAAATGCCCTCATCTAAAGAGCTGGATGGAGTGGAGTAGCAAGTTTTCAGTCTTTCTTGGCCTGATCTTTAATGTATGCATGCATTTCTTCTACCTATTTCTTCAGCTATATAAAACTCAGTTGAATTTACCTTTGCAGGACAGCTATGTGCCAAATACCTGGATGCTTTTTGCTTGACATTGAAAAATCAAAACCGTATTCTGGAAAGGAATTCGAGAAAAATAAGGATGAACTGATTCAGAAAATCTATGCACTGTTTAACGCCACTGTCTTTGATCAAAAGGTAGAATTGATGCATTAGAGTTTATTGAGCACCTGCTGTGTGATGGTACTCTTGGGGGACAGGTGGTATGCTAACTGTGTATACTTCCTGCCCTTGGGAAGTGTCAGTGTAGAAGATGTGCACATGTGAAGGAAATAATGTTTATAATGTACGGAACAGATGGTCATTACCGTAGGTGATCAGCAGAGGGAGGAATAACAGACTGAGTGGTGAGGAAGTAGGATTGCTTAGAGGAAGTGAAGCTCCTTTTGGTAAGTCACAAGGACAGCAGTGACAAGGGAGAGGGGAATGTGTTGAGGCCTGACTACTTGGAATGGTAAGAGCAGTATGAGCTTGGGGAAGTTATTTAACCTCATTATGCCTGTTTCTACACCTATGAAATGGGAACAATAACAGTACAGTCATCCTTCTGTATCCATGGGGGACTGGTTCCAGGCCTCTCCAATAAATACCACAATCTGCAGATACTCATGTGTAATATTTCCATATGATCTACTCACATCCCTTTTTTAAAAAAATTATTTTCCGGGGGGGGTCTTTCTGATTTTTTTTGAGACAGGGTCTCACTGTGTAGTTCAGACTGGCCTTGAACTCACTATGTAACCCAGTCCGGCCTCGAGCTCACAGCAATGCTCCTGCCTCAGCCTCCCAAGTGCTGAGATTGTAGGCATGCACCACCACACCTAGCTCTCCTATTTTCTTTAATCATCTCTATATTACCTATATGATAGGTAATATAACATACTACGTAAATAGTTGTTACCCTGTATTGTTTAGGGAAAATGACAAGGGGGACATTGGTACATGTTCAGCACAGTTCCAAAAATATTTTTAATTTATGATTGGTTGAAGTTGTGGATGTGGAACCCATGGATACAGAAGGCCAATTGTACTTATTACTTAAGAATTATTGGCTGGGGATTTAGCTCAGTGGTTCCGCCACCTGCCTTGTAAGCACAAGGACCTGAGTTCAATCCCCGGTATCAAAAAAAAAAAAAAAGGAACTGTATGCCCTCAAAGATACAGATGAGACTGGCAACTGTGTCCTATAAACAAGGTTCATGATGCCTTGTTCTCGACAGATTTTCAAGGAACAAAACTTTTTTGTTTGCTTCTGTAACCTCCATACCCAGCTTTATATCACTTGAGAGACCACCCCCTTTTAGAAAAATGTATAAAACCCCAAAACATTTCCTTGTCCGGCGCTCAGTCTTTTGGACAAGAGTCCAGCTGAAAATCATTAGGCACCACTCTACAGGGATAAGATGTGACCTGGAGTGGCTGCTGAAGAAAAATCTGACAGGAGCCTGTAGGTATGGATTGGATTGGGGAGTATTTGGAGGCAGAGATCTGTTGGTCATTCCCTTGTTTTCTTTTTGTGGTGCTGGAAATGAAAGGAGGGCTTCTTAAATTCTAAGCAAGTGCTCTACCAGGCAGACTTGTACTTCTCTGTCTGACTTCTCTCCATGCAAGAGAGCGCAAGTCCTAATTCACCTTGTCTCAACAGTCTCCCTTGTGTCCTAATTGCCTATTAATTGTCTTTACCCAGCCTTCCAGTTGCTTTTTTTGTTTTTGTTTTTTGAGACAGGGTCTCACTATGTAGTTGAGACTGACATGGAACTCACTATGTAGCCCAGGCTGGTCTCGAACTCCCAGCAATCCTCCTGCCTCAGCCTCCCGAGTGCTGGGATTACAGGCGTGTGCCACTACACCAGCTCTTCCAGTTGTTTTTTTTTTTTTTTAAATAAATTTTATTTTATCCCATCCCCCCATTCCAGTTGGTTTTTATTCTCCCCAGAATGTTTAGATTTGTGTGCCCTTTGAATAGATATATCCCCAATTTGCTGTAAGCCAAGAACCTGGGGAAAGAAGTTTCTCTTTTTTATTACAGAAAGAAAAACTCTGAGGTTAATATTTTCTGGTCTGCTTAGAACTTCTTCCTGATCCCTTCTGTTTGATTTTCATTCTCAGCTGCCAGAGAAAATAGACATCACCTGGAATAAAAAGTTGCTGAGAACTGCTGGCTTTTGCATAACTAGTGAGAGAGAGTACCCGAAGAAGGAGCGCTGTGCCAAGATTGAGATTTCTCTGAAAGTCTGTGACTCTGCAGGTAATGACAGAAGTGGTGTCTCAGCACTCTTTCCTCATCTTTTCAATTATTCTTAGCTAGAAGCCTGTGTCACTGCTTGAACTGGCCTTCCCAGGTAGACGGTTCTACTGTGTATTGCTTAGAGAACATTACTTTGGGACGTCTCACCATCCCTGGGAATCCAACTCATCCATTTCTACCAGGCCTACCTTTCTGTCTGCATTTTCCCCCTGCAGGAGGCAGCATCTCCATTCTTACAGTAGCTGAGGTTCAAGGTCCTCTATACCTATTCATTCACCTTTCACAATAACTCTCCTGTCATCATTTCTTTTCCATCTTTGCTTTCACCCAGAAATGGGTGCTTACCTCCTCACTTCTCCTTGCTGCACTAAAACTTTTGTGTACCTCTGTGTTGCTTTCCTAGGGCTTTTCAGTGCCTGGGGCCTGGCTTTCTAGGCCAGTGTAATCTGCTCCTACTCCACTTGGCTGGCCTTGTCTCTTTTTTTTTGTTTGTTTGGATTTTTTTTTTTTTTTTGAGACAGGGTCTCACTATGTAGTTGAGACTGACCTGGAACTCACTATGTAGCCCAGGCTGGTCTTGAACTCACAGCAATCCTCCTGCCTCAGCCTCCCCAGCGCTGGGATTACAGGTGTGCAC